AATTGTGTTAAATTTAGCATTTTGCTAAAATCATTAGCACGTCAAAAAACAAACTGGAAATGAGAGAAATTTGGGACTCGAACCTTTTCAGGCAAAGTCAGGAAAGTTTTTAACCATTTTTAAAAAAATTTGACACCTGATTTTTTACACAATATTGTTAATGTCCAGGTGAGCTCTAAAATGAAGTCTACTTTAGATAATGCTTCAAAATAACCACACAGAAGCATTTCAACACAGCAGTCAAGTTGCAAGACATGTAACTAAAAGGACCTTTGCATTTATTTGTACTCCCCACATTTTTCCAGTTTCATATACTCAAAAGTAAGTTATGTGTTTTATAATTATAAAACACATAACTTACCTTTTATAATTAATTTTCTTGTTTTCTTTATTGTCTTCAGTTAGAAGGAAAAAAAACTACCAAAAGAGATTTGTAGTCTTGATTGAGGTATCACTGAAATTAAGCAACATATATATAACTTAACTTTTTCATGTCAGACAATGTCACACTTTGCAATTTAGATCCAAAATGACAAAAAATGAGGGTACTGAATTTATGCTAATTCTGCATGTAGCATGATAGCATGATAGCATACTAGCCTAGCCGTAACCAAGCATTTAGCATAATACCACTCATGGGTTTAACAAGATAAGTGCCAAGAATTTAATAAACATTCAAAACGACAATCTTTTTTGTGACAGTTATCAACAGTTTCAAACAACCAAGCCACTAAACCAATTTTGCTGCCAACATTTCATGGTATGTCATGTCGATCAGGTTAGCTTGGTTGAGATATGCGTCATGCATGCTAGTTCATGGATATCGGTCATCTTGGCACTTGGGGGAACAAAACTGTCGTTAGTGAACCCAGGTTTAGCCTATCAGAGGTTTGTAAGAAGGAGGAAGAAGAGGACATCCGGTCAGAGCTGCTAAAACTGTGACAATGACCCCAAAAATCAGACCAATGAGATGAGACTCACATTTCAAACTGAAATATCGATTAAGATTTAAACTGTTTCATTATCTTGACAAACTAAACTTAAAAAATTAAACTTGTAACACATACTCTGATCAAATGAAAAGTTGCTCATGTTTTCCTGTATTCATCTAAAACTTCTATCAGGTCAGTTTACCTGATGAATTAATACTGCATGAGGAAAGCAGGTTGATACCCACGCCATTATTAATTCACAGCCATCACGCAACACCTTGTGGGAACAATCTTGTGGTCATCATCACCGCGCCATCAATTATAGAAAGAC